CGCAGATTCGCACCCGCATCCACTTTGCCAATCCGAAACGTGGTCTGACAACCACTCAGGATCTCGAGTTGCTGTTCCGCATAAAGTTTAGGGCCATTATAACAGTCGTGTCGCGGCTGGGAGCTGGTGGTTCCGATGATTGCTGCATTGTGCGGCGAGCAAAGTGTCAAAGAGAGGATTTCTTTGCATGGCTTTTATTTGGGCGAACAGATGGTGGCATTGCTACTTACGTTGTACTGAGGCGTTGTAATTGAAAATAGATGGATGCCTGGCATGGTTTGATGAGTGTTGTGCCTTCTTTACTTCGAGTTTGATTGTGTTTCTTCCCTTTTTCCACCTTGGACTTCTTCCCTTTCGTGTCCTCAGTTCCTTCCTTCTTTTCTTCCTTGGCTCCTGGGTTCCATTTCTTGACGCTCATTTTTTGACCATTATTTCACGAATATACGCCAAAGAGACCTGGTTGTCGCAATTATTTCCCCCTTTCGAGACGAAACGATACGAGGACGAAGGGATATACAGAGCGCAACTGTGATTGCTAGACAACATTGGACCACACTTTCTCCATATCGCACACCTCGCTCCCATCATCGGACGCCGGGGAGAAAAGCCAGATAAGCAGAAAGAGTATATTGGGAAAGACAAGAACCGTACAACACAGCAAAAATGGCAATCAACTGGGTCCTCCCCGTGCGCGCTGTGCAATTCGTCCTATCCGTCGTCGTCCTCGGATTGATGGCATATGGTACGTCCTTTCCCCTTTTTCTTTTCCCACCACCTTACATCCATCTGACTTCCCTCTCTCAGTATCATCATGGTGGTCAACACACTGGCGCCAATCCTCCCCCAGTGAAATAAACTACCTCATCTTCGCGCCCTCATGGTCTCTCCTCTCCCTCGTCCCCTTACTCCTCCTCCAACTCGTACCAAAGTTCGAGAGTTTAAGGGACAAAGCGAGTGTGAAGTGGGCGCTACTTGGACTGGAAGGTTTGACAATGTTATTTTGGTTTAGTGGGTTTGTCGCGTTGGCTGTGTTTTTGAGTGGGAGGATATGCTTTGGCATGGTAAGTTTGTCATTCTTATACACATTTTCTTTCTTTTTTTTCGGTACAACCGAATGCATGGACCGTCCGCTGACGTGAGATACTCAGGTATGTGACGTAGCCCGCGCAAGTACAGCTATCAGTGCACTTTCGTGGCTGGCATGGGCTGTTACTTTCGTCTTTGGCGCTATCAGCGTTGTCAAGGGGAGGAATGGTAGTATGAGCTTTGGAAACAAGGCGCCAAAGAACAAAGAGGTAGATATGCACCAGGGTGTATAGAGAGAGAGAGGTGGCATGTCGGAGGCGTTTGTCATGACGGTATATATCGATTGAGGGCTTAGTACGACAGTATATGAACAGCAATCATCAGGTATGATTGCGGCGCGCGGTGTTAGATATCCTGCTTTGGTTTGAGCAATGGTTTAGTCATAATGCAACTTCTTCTTTTGAACGCTAAGACGTGTACAGCAGCCCGTAGGCTTGGTGATATGCCGCGACCAGTCGTTTGGAAAGACAACCTGGGTACTCTGGGATAAGAACTACCGAGAATAAGAAAAACCTGGGTTGTGCTGTTGGCGATTGTTTCTGCAGATACTCGTTTCAATTACAGCAGGCCCAGCGATATGATCGAATCAGATTTTTATTAGTAAATGGTACAGTCAAGCCTATCTCTTGCTGGTTTTCCGATCGCCCCTGTTCGTCCAGAGACAACCAAGAACAGACATCTTACCGATAACGGCAGGCAGAACATCGGCACTCAAGATGTTGTGTCTCGGCAGCTGTGAAATAGGCACTGGTTGCCTTTCCAGGGTTCAGGCAAATGTCATTAACCGTCCATTTGTCAAAACCCGTATGTCATGCCTTGATTATAAGGATCTAGGATGTCGACTCCCGATCTTGCATGGTCAATTGCAAATTCTAGGCCTGTTTCGAAACGCTTGGCTACGTTGCAGTGCTGCCGAGGAAGAGATTTTGGAGGTGCCTTATAAGATGCGTTGTATGCCTGATGAAGCTGTTCTGAAACACAACAGAGACGTGAAATGCCTGGAACGGCAGACTTCGGCCGCGATGTTCGACGTGATTGCGCCAATACCTTTCGTATCGATTGAGCAAGAGAGAAGCCGGCGGTACAAACTTTTTGTCGTCGAAAATTCCTTCGTGGTAGTTCAGGCTTGTGCCCGTGAAGAATGATGCATTTTTGGGTCCAATAGTTCGTTGACACTGCTATATTCGTCCTAGCGCGGACGCTAGCGTCTAACATACTTGCGGCGGATCTGCTCCAGGATCTTGACACCTGCAACACCACGCCACTGATGCTCGTCACAGAACATGTGCATTTCCATCTCGGCTGACACCATCTGACAGCGTTCTACTCGCGTTTCTCGGTTCTCGGCAACGCGTTTTCTACGACGATGCCAGTATGAGCGTACTCTGTCTCCCGGAGACCCGCATAGAAACAAATCGGCCAGACGCTATCCGACTGAATATAGCGACCATGGCAAGGAAAGCAATTTCAATGGCATGATCAGAACGGCAATGTTGCCGTTCTCGACTTGTTGGCGGGGTGCTTGGCGGGGTGCTGTCGTTCCCAAACCTTCCGCGAATCTGGATGCAGGGGCTTTTCGAAGCTACGCTCGAGCGCACGCCTGATACGTGTGCGATGCGTGTCAGCACTCATGGCTGGATCTTCCTCTTATGGCCTGCGAAACAAGTACATCTTCTCTCGCTGCTTTGCCATCCAAACATTCTTTCTTCCCACTTCTCCAGCTTCACGCGCGCGTTAAACATTGATCGCATCCACAGGCGATTCCTTGAAACATCAATCCAGAGAAGATCTACCTACACGAGTCACTTCACCAGAGGTTGCGATCATGCCGAAGACTGCTGTCTTCACCACTATTACGCCGTTGCCGGCTGGCATCACAAGGAAGAGTGTGCTTGATATGTACCGCGATCATCTTGCCATGATCGACCTGAACCCACTGGTCGTGGAACGGTTCAAATGCAGGCCACCAAGCTATGCGCCAACAGACGAGTACTGGGCTATGTGGTATACCATCAAGGGTGAGTGTTGTGCATTCACAACCCCTGAGTGCAGTGCTAACATCATCTAGACAAGGTCTCATATCTACCGGGCGGCCTAGCTACAGGTTCTGTATCATACCACGCTTGTTTCACCGACACAGCCGAGGGTCTTAACACACACGTGTACGCGCCACTCGGTCTAGATATCCAAGGGAAGTGGACTGTAGGAGGAAGATTGCCTGGCGAGCCAAAGCCTCCAGCTGAACCTGGACTCAAGACACCAAGACACGGACTGTACATTCGGGAAGATGTTAAGATGACTTGCTCAGCTCTTCTAATGAGCTTTGTCAAGAGGACCTTCAAGGACTCACACGGAAAGCTTGTTGATAAGCTAGTGGAGAAGGCGCATATCCTGGAGTCAAACTTTGCGAATGAGAGACTACAAGCACTCCGGAATGTTGCTCCCGGTGAGCGAATGGGTCATGGAGACATCTTCATCGCACCACCACCAGACTACGACTACCAGCCTTCTCCAACATACCTCCAGGTTCCCTCGCCTCGCTTCGTATCCCATACAAGAAGTCAAAGCGACCCAGTGCTATCTCCTGGCTTCTCTTCTTCCTCAACACTCAACGATCCCAATGACAGCCCCTTCAACAAGAAAGATCGGCCAACATCATTCACGTTTGTACGTGAAGAGAAGGAGGTCTCGTCCTCCGCTCCCGAGGCAACCTCTTTTCTGCTGCCAGCGACAACATACGACGGCGGGTTCTCGCAACGACGTGAGCGATCAGCATCATTGTATCCTGGCAGTTCGTCGGACCAACACTTCGAGCGCATGAACTCCGAGCGAATGATATCTCTACTACCGCTTAGTCCAACAACTCCGGCACCACCACAAGATTGGAACGCCCCAGAGCACGCACCCAGGATCTCTTATACACCCGAGGAGCGACCTATCTCATTCACTTTCCCCTTTGACCCGAAGCACCCCTTTGATCGCAAATCGACATCGGAGACGTCGCAATCGGACCAACAAAACCTTCTCGACGACATCGACGACGCAATTGACGAATTCATGTATACATTACCTGCGGCTACATATAGTCCGCTGCCCGCAACCACATACTCGCCCCAACCAACCCCTGAGCCGATACTATCCAGCGCAGCATATACCCCAGAACCGACGCTATCCAGCGCTACCTACAACCCAGAGGCCACCCTGACCAGCGCGACCTACAAGCCAGAGCCGATACTTTCGAGCGCGGTCTACGACCCAAGACATGCGCGAAAGGACTCCGCCATGCCGTCTCAAGACTACGCCGACGAACGACCTCCGGTGCCTTTGAAGGACGACAAGTACAGGAAAGGTAGCCTGAGGGGATAGACGGAGGGAAAGCTCGGCTTATGCCTTTTGATGAATCTTCTGTACAATTTTTACCTCTGCTTCGATTGTTTCTTCCATCTGGGGAAAAAAGAGCGTGTTTGGTGTTGGAGAGTTTTTTCTTTTTTGGAATCTCATATATATACCCGCATGTATCAGGCTTACAGGATAGGCTGGATGGAGTTAACCCTTGTATAAACTCTTTTTGTATATCACAACCATGACAGCGGAAAACGCGATTTACCAATCTTTGTCTCTTCTGTAACCTCGACCCAGTGTGACGAGTGTTCGTAACAAGAAAAATCTCTGGCGATGATCTGTGCGTTGTCTGCTTCTCAGCCCTGTTTCATGTATTGGTCTTTGAAGTAGTATAACGAATTATGCCCTCAAGAAGACCCAGATCTGCTTTATCGGTTGATACCCAGTAGTGGAAGAATCAATCCAGGCCCTCTCTCTCTCATCACAGGCACCACCAGCAGTGTCCCCAGCAGCTCCTTCATATTCCAACTTCACGAGCATATCAGCATAATTCTCCTACCCATCTGAGTGATCTAAACTCCAACGTCCCCACTCTTAATCATGTCATCATACTCCAGCGCCGCATCAAGCAAAACCTGCGCCCCCAGTGCGCAATGCTCTGGACTCGTATATTCTTCTGGGTTATGACTTATTCCCTCTCGACTCGGTACGAAGATCATACTCGTTGGACAGACCCTACTCGTCCATGCGCTGTCATGTCCCGCCCTGCTCTTCATCTCCATGACCTGCTCTTCACCAACTTGCCCCACTGCTGCCTTCCTCACCGCCTCGATACAGTTCGAATGGAACTTTGACTCTGGTAAGCCCCACGTGCGTTCCACACGGTACTTGGTCCCATTATCTTCTTCCGCAACGACCTGGTCAAAAGCCTGTAAGATTTTGTCGGAGAGTTGGGTAACGAGGGCATCAGTATCGCATCTAACATCTATCACGAACCCCACCCCAGCGGGTATAGTGGCTTGAGAACTCGTATCACTGCGGATAACACCCACAGTAGCAACGCCCAGTCGGCTGTCGAGTGCAGTGTCACGTACAGCTGTTATAAGCCGTGAAGCTGTGACCAAGGCATCTGCCCTCCCTGGCATGGGCGTCGTACCCGAATGGCCTTCTCGCCCTGTCACTCTAATGGCATACCATTTCATACCCTGTACGCTCGTCACGACACCTACACTCTTCCCTTCCTTCTCTAGAATAGGGCCCTGCTCGATGTGGAGTTCGAAATGAGCGGACAGTCTATTCTCGCGGTAATCGCAAGGAATGGGGCCCAAGTATCCCGTGTCGCGTAAAGCTGTTTCCATGGATATACCGCTAGTATCGTGGAGGGCATGGCAGGCTTCTAGATCCGTGCTGCTATGTGTGCTCCAGACACCTGAAGCCATCATCGCGCCAGGGAAACGTGCGCCTTCTTCGTTTGTCCAGTTTATCAGCGCAAAGGGACAATGGGTTTGAATGTTGTTCTCGTCGAGTGTGCGGAGGACTTCTAGGGCGGACTGAACGCCCAGTATGCCATCGTATCTACCTTGACATCAGTCCAATCTGGGTTGGAAGAGGGGAAAGGGTGAGTTTACCGTCCACCTGCAGGTTGGGTATCCATGTGACTACCCATGCCGATTGGTGCTTTGTCTTTGGCGGTACCTGGGCGTATGGCGAAGATGTTTCCCATTTGGTCGATTCTGACCTCGCATCCCAAACTCTTGCATTCACTGACCAACCAGTCTCGCGCAGCTTTGTCCGACGGGGTTAAAGTCAGGCGGCACATGCCTGTTGATGGAGCTGCGAGGGCGCCATATGCTGTGCATGTTTCTTGCAATGTGCTATTCAGCCTGTCGCCGTTGATTTTCGGGCTTCTGATAGCCATATTGGCCTGTTTAAAAGTTATGGTATGTTGTAGGCTGGTGTTGCGGGTTGCCCGTAGTGGCGTGAAGCCATCAGGTACGATTGTTCCGACGCGTCGGCTTCTAGAAACGCGTCTCCATCACGTATGACTAACGAGTATTACTTTACAGAATACCGTACCCTTCTTAAGCGCATTTGTACCGCGGATAGGCGTCAGAGTTGATAAGGGACGGGTGAAGACGATGGGAGGAAGGTGGGGCAGCGCGAAAGAGGGGTCGAGATACGCACCTCACAAATTTGGACTAGCCTTCCTTCTACAAGCACGATAACCGCTGAAATGTATCCTCTAGTATTAGCAAGTGACTTGAGAGTCTGTACCTCGAGATTAGACCATCTGAAATAAGGCTACAAAGAGGTAGCCATGGAGTACGACCTCATCATCGTTAATGGAATCGTGGTTTCCGAAATTGAAGTTCAAGAGTGGGATATTGCTATCAAAGATGAAAAGATATCGAAAGTGGTTCCAAGAGGAGGCCTGAAAGACGCAAAAGCGACGAGGACGATAGATGCTGAAGGCGGCTTTGTTATGCCAGGAGGTGTAGACGCTCATGTTCATCTGCAGGAACCTCCGTTGTTTGGCAATGGCTCCACGGCAGACAACTACGAGACGGGTAGTCGATCAGCAGTATGCGGTGGTACCACCACAATGGTAACGTTTGCGCCGCAAAAGAAGACCGAGGATACTCTTCTTGATACCCTGGCGGCTACCCATGAACGAGCAAAGGATAACTGCTACATTGATTATTCCTTCCATATCATCGTGGGAAACCCCTCAGAAAGGGCACTCTCGGAGTTTAAGACTCTTCGTGAAGAAGGCATTTCTTCACTCAAGATCTACATGACCTACGAGGCCCTGCAGCTGCACGATGGTCAGATCCTAGACATCCTCCTCGAGGCGCGAAAACAAGGCATAACAACAATGATCCACGCCGAAAACGGTCAAGTAATCGACTGGATGACTGCCCAACTGGAGAAGAAGAAGTTATTCGCACCGAAATACCACGGATCCTCCCACCCTCCCATGGCGGAAACAGAAGCCACCTACCGTGCCATCAGCTTATCAGAATTCATGGACACACCCATCCTCATTGTCCACGTCTCCACGCCCGCAGCAGCCGCCCACATCAAAGCAGCACAAGACCGCGGCCTACCCATCTACGCAGAAACCTGCCCACAATACCTCTTCCTCACGAAGCAAGACCTAGACCAACCCGGTTTCGAAGGCGCAAAGTGTGTCTGCTCGCCCCCACCACGGGAGAGCGAGGCAGACTGCGACGTAATCTGGGAAGGACTTGCAAACGGCACCTTTACGATCCTTTCCTCGGACCACTGTCCCTTCCGCTACGATGATGCTCAAACGGGCAAGAAATCCAGCATCAGCGCTGAACACCCGCTCGGCCACTTCAAGTACATACCCAACGGCTGTCCAGGCATCGAAACAAGACTCTCCCTTGCCCTCAGCGCGAACCGCCTCGAACTTACCAAATTCGTCGAGGTCACTTCTGCCAATCCTGCCAAGCTGTACGGCTTGTATCCGAAGAAAGGCGCGTTGGTGGAGGGACAGTCCGATGCCGATGTTAATATCTGGTATCCAGAGGGTAAGATGGAGGAGTTTGAGCTGACGAATAGCATGTTGCACCATGATGTTGATTATACGCCTTTTGAGGGGAGGAGGCTGAGGCAGTGGCCCAGGTGGACGATCTTGAGGGGAAAGGTGGTTTGGGATAGGGACAATGGGGGATTGTTGGGCCAGAAGGGGTATGGGAGGTTCACGAAGAGGGATGCGAGCAGTCTTGCCAAACCTACAAAAGAGGGCGAGTGGGTGTTGCCGCTGTAGGTGTGTTGAAGATGTTGCGCACACTATGGAGGGGACATTCCTCGTTTGGGTATTGCTTGACGCTTGTGGCGTGATTCAGCGTGTTTAATCTACCGTAGTATGGAGAGGTACAGTACAGCAGTACGTCATACCTAAGCTGTACGTAGGAGAGCTCCTGTTAGTCTATATTAAGTAAGTGTAGTCTGTACATAGTCTAAGCGGCTGTACTACAGTTGTAGTTTGTACTTGGAGCTTTTTTTTCAGTGCTGCTGTACGTACAACACTAGTAGTCAACCTGTACGTACTTTATGATAGCTGTAATCGTACTGGTGTACAGTACCTTGGACAGGCTGGCGTGTCTGCTCCATACCTTTAGCCATGCTGAGACGAGTGCCAACCGAAAGTCAGACGATATGACTACTCCGCGTCAAGAGTCGGACGCTGGACATGGCGGACGAGAAACGTCTCTTGGTAGAGGCTGGTATTGTAGCCAAAAAGCGCTGGTTAGGCTTGACGCGCAGGTGCCGCGGCTCAATCCTTATCTTATCAGTTCACCCGCGAAGGTCGCGTCCCACCCCATTCTTGCTTCCTTCGCGACAGCACCTCCGATGCGGCCATCTCCATTGAGTCAAATGAGGTCATGCATGACTAATAGTATATGGTTGTACTCTTATCAATGGAGCGGCTGCCCTTTGCCGTTTCCTATGTGGACAGACACCCCATAAAGCTTATTGCGCGTCAACAGGGCCATGCCTGAGCTTGAGGAAGCTTGTCATATGCCAGAACTAGGCTCCGCCGTCGTATAGAGAATATGGCGACTCTTGAGCCGCCAGTAGAGTATGTAGATGTACTCGTGGTAGGTGGAGGACCGGTGGGTACGTGTAGCCCCAGCACTCATCGTGTACACACTATCGTACTAACAACTACTCACAGGCCTCATAACCGCCTACCAACTCGCACGTAACCTCCCCCAACCTAACCACCGCATCAAAATCATCGAGCAATACCCAAAATCCTCCCAAGACAACTATGGTCGCGCCATCACCCTCTTCCCCCGCAGCTCCGAGGCAAGTTATGACTGTGCGAAATGCATATGAGACATACACTGACTTCGTGTCTTCACATCTGTAGATGCTTGACCAACTTGGTCTTGCTGACTCTCTTGCGCAACAGTGTTTTGCGTGCCGCGAGACAGTCAACTACGACAAATATGGCAACGAGGTCGAAGGAAGAGGCTGGGCGTTCATGCAGAACATGAAGGACACAAAGTGGGACTTTGCACTGGTGCTACGGCAGAAATACCAGGAAGAGGTGTTTAGGAAAGCGTTGGCGAGGGAGGGCGTCCAACTCGATGCGCCGTATACATTAGTGGGTATTGAGGTGATACAAGGGGTTGAGATGGGCGGCCACAGGGTGCTGGCTACCATCGAACATGGCTCGACCAAGGCTAAGAGCGTGGTCAAGTGTCGATATCTGGTCGGCGCAGACGGCGGTCGATCATTTGTACGACGAGCTATGAACATCCCCTTTGACGGCTCCTCGAGCGAAGACAAATGGGTTCGCGTTGACGGCGTCATCGAAACCGACCTCCCCAAGCCCCGAACCTACTGCGCCATCGAATCACCTACCCACGGAAATGTCCTCTGGGCCGCGCTAGACCGAGGCGCAACGCGCATCGGCTTCGCATTCACAGCCGAGCGCCAGAAAGCGTATAAAGTCTTCGACGAAGCTGCCGCCGTGCAAGAAGCCATTGCATCTGTTAAGCCATTCAATCTTTCATTTAAACAAGTAGACTGGTGGACTATCTACGTCGTCGGGCAGCGCATCGCCCGTTCCTTCTTCGTAAACGACTCTATCTTCCTCGCCGGTGACGCATGCCATACGCACAGTTCGGGCGCAGCGCAAGGCATGAATACCGGCATGCACGACGCTGTAAATCTAGGTTGGAAGCTCTCCCTTGTCCTCCGGGGTCTTGCTAAACCGGACCTCTTGCATTCGTACGAAGCGGAACGGCTGCCCAATGTACAGCGGTTGATCAATTATGACAAGGATATCTCGCGCCTCATGACGATGCAGCTGCCAGAGGGTTGGACGGGCGATCCGAATGCGGATCCGAATGAGGTACTGGGTGTAGTCATGGCGGAAGCGGCGACGTTTAGTAGTGGTTTGGGTATTTACTATGAACCGGACTCTTACTTGAACCTCGCCCAGTGTTCGGGTGTGTCGTCGGTGCAGCCTGGTCAGCGCGCACCAGATGTTAGGCTGCAGAAACCTGCGACATTTGAATCCACGCGACTACAAACCGAGACACCGAATACGGTGACATTTTATGTTGTGCTTTTCGCTGGGGAGGTGGCGCGCACCAAAATTGCTTTGGAGTCGTTTACGGCAGCGATCAAGAAGCTCTCTTGGCTGACTGATTCAGATGCGCCAGTATCATGTCTTTCCATTATCGCAGGACCCGGTGGGCCGTCGGCGTATGAGACATTGGGTGGTATGCCGTTTGGTCGTGTATTTTATGATGAGGGTCGTAGTGCGCATTTGAGGTATGGCGTCGCGACTGAGAAGGGGGCTGTAGTGGTGTTGCGACCCGATGGATGGGTGGGTACGGTTGTGGAGTTAGATGCAACTGCGGAGGAGAAGTTGGAGAGGTATTTCGGGCGATTTTTGGTTGCTGCGGCGGGGAGCAGCAAGGCTGGGGCGAAGCTATAACAATGCTGCGGAGTGGCAGTAAGTCCTTTTTGTTTGGGTAGCCTGCATACTGCAACTGTTGGTGATCACGTCCTGCGGGCAACTACGAGCCTATAAATCCAGCCCCACGGAGTCCATGGGCGCCGTCTGCACGAATAACTCTCCACACATGGGCTGTTCATCCACACAGCTTCCCGTAATTGCGCCCACCCGATCCCTTATCTCGCAAGGCATTATTTTGGGAGCCGTGTCGGTCATCCGATTACTCGAGGCTACGTACGCGTTGTTCTTGGCAGCTGAGCCAACATTGATATACTCCAGCGACCTCAGCCTTGTCTCGCCGGTCATATCGTCTTCTTTTCTTTCTTCTTTCCCTTTCTCCGTCGCCTATTCTTTTTCGCACAGCGTCCATGCCTGAGCCTACAAGTCAAGTGGATTTTGATTCTAGTGCAGCAGAGAGGGAGTTTTTTGAAGCTGCTCGAGTATACGTAATCGTACTTAGGATACGTACAAGCTTCCGTGTTAAAGATTGGAAGGAACTAGAGGCTTTTATGAATGGTAGTCATGGTCGGGCTTTCCTTGTGGCGCCTGTAAAGAACGGAACAACATGTTCGCTGTTAAGAAGCAGATTACACGATATACTTCCACTGGAGACCTTCAAGCGTTATGATAGTCCTGGTCTTCGGGGCGGATTCGATGAAGATAGCATCTTGCTGGAGACACCTAGACACTGCATGCCGTACGTGTATTTGTCATTGTCAGACCAGGTGTTCCAGAGGAGAGGGGGAGAGCGACGGGGAATGTTGTTGTACGCAGCAGAGGATCATGTCTTCGACTTTCTCGATCAATTTTGGTCGGAGCGTCACGAAAACGCCTCGAAACAGGCAAAACATGCTGGTTTCGATATTTTGGTCCACAAGCTTTTGATCTCATACATGACGTCCGTCATTGGACAGGCAAAGAAAATTGACGCGAATATTCGCCTTGTGGAAGCAGCCTTGGAAACAAGAGACTCGATAAGTCTGAGCGACCTGCTTCATCAACTGAACATTAGTAGCAATATGGCCAATGCCTCAACCTTTGATCAACAGGCACTTTTCAGCAAAAAAGCATTCGATTGGATAATCGCATCTATGGACAGGTCGAACCATATTCCTCAGGCTCAACAGTTGCAAGAAGTGAGTGAGTCAATGGAAGTATGGCAGCCGAGCAGGATGAAAGAACGTATCTCGGAGCTGCGTGTACATGTCGATCATATTAAGATCGAGCTACGACAAAAACGAGAAGAAGACCGGCAGAAGCGGGAAGACGCTCGACAAGAACGAGAAGAAAAACGAGCAGTAAACGAAGCGAAGCTTCTCGCACAGAGCATCAGGATCGCGGAAGAAACACAACGAGACAGTCGTACTATGCGAGGCATAGCCTGGGTTACTATTGCCTTTCTCCCCGCGACCTTCGTCTCATCCTTCTTCGGTATGAACTTCTTCAACGGCATCGCCGGAAACGTTCCTTTCGATGAAGCAAGTCGTAACGTGTGGCTGTTCTTTGTGGTAGCAGTGCCTGTCAGTGCCATCGTTCTGTTCACGTTCTATTTCTGGGACAAGCATGAGCAGATGAACGATAACCTGAGGTTGAAAGGGTCGAAAGATGGAAATGAGCTGAGGTTAATGCAGGCGGAGATGGACTACTTGATGGAAGAAAATGGGTCACGGTATACTCTGTAGAGAGGGACGTGGATTTGGTTGTTCTATTACCTGTGACGTTTTGTCAAGTTCAAGCAGCGAGCAGAAAGATATCGGGAGATTGTGAAAGTATGGATAGCGGAGTGGTGGTGTGTGTCGGATAGAGAAGAGATAGCAAAGCACAGTCTATTTCGTATGCGTGGATAGCATTATCAGTGGTACTACGAGAGATTGTAGCCCACCTGGATAGCTTCAAATCGTTATAATCCTTGTCCATGCAGTGAAAAGACATGGAACAAATAACAACGGCCAATACCTTACTATATTCGCACTAGCACGTACAATTAAAAAAATATGTTTTATGCTGAAGGGCCATAGCACACCGCGGAAATTCCCCAAACAGGCCACTAGGCACACGCTGTGGAGTATGATCTACCGAGCCGAAGTGGGTCGACCCACTTCACCTCAACTCTCTACACTGGTGTAGTACTGCGATTCATTATCTACCGCGGCCAACATTTCCGGATAGTAGTAGTGCGGCAAGTGGGCGAGAACACGCCGGTGCGCGGGTGTCGGATGGCTTGCTGTCGCCACTTTCTTGGCCCCTTGGCTTCTACACCGCGGAGCGGTTCTGATCTACATTTCGCGAGGGGTTACTGAGTGTTGCGTCTCGTATCGAGAGTGGTCGCTTGCCAAGAAGTGTTTTGTAGGATGCGCAAATGGTGGGAGCGTCACGTACAGTCGCTGTGTGCGCGCAATCGCGAAGCAATACCCTAGTAATCCGATGACATGCAATTGATGAGCTAGTTATGACTTATAGAATCTTTATAATCTTTGTGCCTGAGAGAAGCTCTCAAATAAGAAGCATTCCAAGTACAAGAAGTAAGAGCGTCTTACAAATGCTACCACTTATCTCAAGAACCATGGTGCTATTCCATCCATTAAAAGTAAAGTAATATTGGGTATTCCGTATTTCGTAGATCATGAAAACTCGCATTCTAATCAAAGCCACCTCCGCGTATCCATCAACGTCCCCTCTTTGGGATGATACGGCGGCAAGGCTTGTATTTCCGACGGATGCGGACTCCCCCGGTCAACACTATACTCGCTCTGCACCATGATACCCCCCAACGGCGACCCTACAACGGGCGACGGCCCAGCCGCCAGCGGTTGGATATCCTCATTCGACTTGAACGACCGATCCAGCGATCCGTCCGACGAACTTCGTGTTGGAATACCATTCCCAGTCTCTACGATACCTTCCTTCGCTCCCTTGGTGACGCCCATCTCATACTCGTCTAGCCGGACAAAGTCTTCCTTGTCGGCTCGACTCGTCCTAAAGGTGCTCAGTTGAGAGCGATCGGTTTTTGGTAGCCAGATGCGGGATTTGATGTTGCTGCCATTGCTGCCATTGCTTTGTTTGGACTTTTTGCTGCTGTTTCCAGAGTTCTCTTCGTAGTAGTAGTTGTTCTTCTTCTGCTTCGGCCAGATGCGTTCGCGGATCGAGCGTTCCAGTTGGCGGATGGCGGGTAGGCAGGCGATGATGGCACCGACTTGAGCTTCAACCGCAGACCAGTATCCGATTGGCAGGTAGTCCCAGGTGACATTGGTCGTTTGGGCGAACTGAATCATAAATTTTAGTCGGACAATGCTGACAATGGTTACACTAAGTATCTGTTAGCACACACTCAAGGTGAATTACGGAAGGAATTGAACATACAAGCCTCCGCCGAGGAACATGAGCATGATGCCGAATTTACGACGGCGGCTCATTTTGAGCTGGCTGAGTTCCCGCATGGGTATAGTAATGACGACCAGATCGAGGATGATGTTGACTGCGGCCGATGCCCAGGCGTCGGCGTTGAGGTTGATGCATTTTCCGTGGTGCTCGCCGTCCCAGTGTTCCCAGGCGATGCGGATTGGGAGACATTGCAGCGCGGTCGCTGTGCCGAAAGCGATGATGTACATGATACAAACGACTATTGTGACATAGATGACGCGTCGAATACCCTGTTGAGGAAATATGCGGAGGTAGAAAAGGAGGATAGCTATCTTCGTCAATGCCACCGACACTAGGTATAGCAGTTCAGTGTAGTAAAAGATCTAAATCGCACTTTCGTCAGCTCCAAATCTCAGCATTCGAATTCTTCAATAACATACCTCGAGGATCTTTGTAATGTTGTCAAAAGACACATACCACATATCCTGTCCCAAGCCGATTTGGTTCAGAATGTATGCGCATACGGAAAGTGGGACGACGAGTATGATAGCGACAGTCATCACCCAATCGTCCAACCCCCAATTTCCTCCAAACCAGGGAAGACGTGCAACAACGCGTAGAATGTAGGCCACCGTGGCTGCTATTCCAGCGACCAACGTGGTAATCGTTCCTTGTATCGTCTTGTTACGAATTGGCGTGTTCATCATGTCTGCGAGAAACCTCTTTGCCGCTAGTTATTCGATTAGCGAACATCTGGAAACAAGAGAACGAGGAAGAACTCACTCAGTGCTTCTTTTGGCTTACAGCCAGCTAATACGCATTTGGTGAGGTCATCTAGAAGCGTCTCGTTGGCTTTGATACAAGCAAAGTCTGTGAGCTCGCATGGTGACGCCGTGACGATTGTCAATGTGCATTTTAACTACATCTTGTCAGTTTTGAATTCCAGTATGTTGACTCGATTGGCATACCGCGCATGGAGGCAGGTTCTTGACTGCAAGAGCGAGGACGTCAGATCCATTCTGACTTTGCGCAAACGACAGCAGTGGCGCAAAGACGAGGAACAACAATGCCGAGAAGAACTTCATATCGAAAACCGCATGAGAAGGCGCCGTACTCCGCGTACCGTTTTCCAGTCGACCGTATTAAGACAAGGCGCTTTCCAAGAAGAGGCAGTACAGTCTACCTCGGATGCGAAAGAGGAAGGAGGAGCAAGGAAACACGATAAGCGAAAGCAGTTCGCATGTGAACATGGGCCCTTCATAATCCCATATGGACCAGGATATGTTATAAACAGGGGGGCTGAATGCTACTATCCGCGGCAATCAGTAGCACAGCACTGTCAAAACTCCTAGTCTCCGCACGCAAATCAAGGCGCCGTTAGTATGTTACAAGCTCCTAGCAGTGGAGCTGCCGACTTGGTCACGGAGCAGACTCCATGAGGCGTGCTACGCACTGTTGGCATTGTTCGGGCGCAATCGGCAGTCTACGAGCTAGACTGTGCCCTGACTTTAGTTCGCAGACGTGTGCCGCTGCTACGGCAAAATCCACGTGGAGCTTGCGCCCAACGAGGGACAAACTCTCCGACTTTTGCCTCTTCCTATGGCATGATACGTTGGATGTATCGTGTAGATTCACATACTTTGAAGATGAGATAGTCAGTACAGCCAAATGCGGGAAAGGTCGTTTGGAGGTGACGTGCACCAAGTAGGATTCTCGGGATCGGTATGTGTGAAAACACACATATTCACAATAGTCATGGCCATCGCCGTGTTAGGCATCGCGAGCGATTGAATTCAATGCGAACCTGATCCGTTGCTTAGACGTGAAGATCCCTCTGGCATTTCTCATGTCGCCACGGGACTCGCGTTCACTACATATGACGGCTTCGACTCAGTGGCTTAGCTAGCGGAGAAATCCTCGACCTGCAGCAAGACCGAACATGACCGGAGGTATATGAACCCGGTGAAGAACGGTATCTTGTGGCTTGATGATGGCAATCGTGTTTGCGCAAAACGTGGGTCTTTCCCTGCATACTAAGATTAGAGTTTAGCTCCGCATGTAGATCAGTCTTAGCACGGACTTTAATCACGTCCAGAAACACTAGTGCAGCCTGCCGACCACAGTCGCTGCGATAGAACCGACTCTTTTTGGTCACGGCAAATGCAAGCGCCGTTGATAGAAGGATACGCGAGCCTTCGCGAACCTGTCTTTGCACAGTGCTCTAGGGGAAGTTTGAACTCTATATAATCTAGTCACCTGGTTCTAGCTGCGGTGACTTACATAGGATCGTTCAGTCATGAGTCGTGTACTACAGGCGATTACAATCAGGCCGCCATGCGAGTCTGTAGTGTCAGGCATCAGAGTTCCATCGCCTCTTGTTGATCATACTCCCTATTCTTTCCTGCCTTCTCGTCCACTCTTGTGAGATTCACCCTGAAGGCCGACAATTCCAGCTTCCCGAAGTGCCCATCTTCTTGCTCATCCCAGAACGCGACTGCATTCAAGGGTATACCCGCATAAGAGGACATGTCCCAATCATCGATGCAGAAATCATCCGGCGGCCCACCTCCACGCTCCTCGACGAACATCGCACGCCACTCTTCGCCTTGCTGTGTCTCCTCGTCGCGGTAGAGGAGTGTAGGGCTGAGTTGTGCGTAGTAGTGCTCCGGCGCGCCATCTTTGACAATGGGTGATTCGAAGACATCCGTCCCATTCGATATCCAGGTTGTGATGACAAGACCGCGGTGGTCGGCTGTCAGTCTCACCGTAGAATTCAGTTCTGGATCTGCAGCGCTATATGTGCCGGCGTAGCGATCACTCAACTGCCGGATGGCAATCTTCTCGGCGACTTGTATCATGGTCGTCAAAACAATACTTTGGATTTTGGCAAAGATCTTTCCAGGGCCGGCGATCAGAATGGTGATCCCTAGGTCGTATTCTGGCACTGTCATGATGATGGACGTGTAGCCTGGCAATCCTCCGCTCTTGGATACGACGCGTATTGTGCGATTGGAGTCTTTTAGTACGCGGTCTGTTGTAAAGATCTCCCATGGCATACCGTAGAAACTATTGGATCCGTGGGAATGGGAGACGGGGTGCAGCCAATTGATCGCGTGGGTAATGGCATTGAAATGAGTCAAGACATAGCGGAGGTACTTGGAAAGGTCACTCGAGGAACTATAGATGCCGCCCGTGGGATTCTGAACACCCTCTTGCACGTCCCAGAACTGTGGGCCCGCCGGAATGACGCCAGCAGAGTCGGCGGGTTTCGAAAGGGTGCTGGTGGACATGTTCAGAGGCTTGAATATGGCTTCATCGATGTAAGCTTCGTAGGTACGATTCGATACCCGCGAAAGAACGAGACCGAGCAGCTCGAACGCGAGGTTAGAGTAAGAAGATTTCTGGTTGGGCGCGAAAAGCGGCGCGAGCTTGTTGACCTGCTTAAACAAATCTAGGCACTCTCCAGTCAGCATTCGGTCTCGGCGATCAGACGATCAGACGCGAACCTCTGGCCGTGCAAGGCGTCTCGAAATTTGGTGAGTACTCATCACAATGTGGCAACCCTTTCCGTGAGACATCAGGCGGTAGGCCCAAGTAACTCGGATTCGGCTTTTCGTAGTTCTGGTTGATCAAGTCGCCTTGAGCCCCTAACGGAAGGAATCAGCATGCGTACCTTCTTCTGTCTGGCACCCATCAAACAGATTGTGCTCCTTGTCAATTGGCAGCTTACATTCCCGCGGAAGGCCGCTCAGCTGGCTGGCCAAACTACGCAAGGTGATGTCCTTCCATGGTATGCCACCATCCGATTTCTCTCCTAGTTCTTTGAGATACGTGTTCACAGTTGCATCTAAACTCAAGTTGCCAGCTGCGTGCTGGTACAATATGCCGAGGACGGTGAAGGTCTTTGTTATGCTGGCGATACGATACAACGCGTCGCCGTTGACTTCGGGGATATCTGGGCGAGAGGCATTGCGTTCGCGCGCCGTGTGATGATACGACCATAGGGTTTCCTCCGATGAAGTTATCTCTACAGAGAACGAGCTTCGAGCATGTATTGGCGCTGCCACAGCTGCCGTAAGTGCTGTGTTGATGGATTCGAATGCTTCTTGGAGCAGAGGATCGTGGACATTGTACTCAGGCGGCGGATGCGCAATGTCAGGTTCGAAGCATTTGGCACCAGCCAAAGCAGCAAACAGAAGGGAAACTAGCAGCACCATGTTGGTGTTTGAAGCCTGGAGATTCTACATGGTGAGGCCTACGTCCATATGTGGATGCCTAGCTGCGCGACGCACTCCCCGCGCGGATAAGAGCTTGGGCCGGGTTGACATCATTGTCGTGCATCCTCCTAACTTCTTACACTCTAGCACGATACCTGCAACTGTCGCAACCTTTGCATTGTCATCGCCCTTCTGATCCGTGGACGCTCTTTGTATTCTAGCTCACATCGATGTTGTGAGCAGCGTACGCGTCGACGCGCTACCACGTGTGAACAATTTGCCGGTACGGACACCAAATCAACATGCAGACGAGACTTGCCCCAAACTCATCCTTCCTGTCATCGCATCGCGCATCGCAACCTAAACTTCAACCGCTTTGAAATGGTTTGTGTGTAATTGAGCTTTTCTAGCGCCTGTAGTGGTGCAACAGAACCATCCTTGAACTGCTCCTAGCAACAGCCTCCGACATAGACCCAGCGATATCCAAACCATGATGCATGCGTTGAATACGAGATTTAACGCATTTGCGCGAGGCGACGAGGCTTCAGGTGGCTTTTGTGTCAGCCTTGCACTGCCCCGCACATTCAGCTCAACAGCATAGCCTCGTAACCTCAAGCACTGTTATCTCTTCACTTCATCCCTCACACAATGCTCAATGTCGCAAAGCATTTGTCCGTCGCACTGATAGTGCCAAAACGACTTAACCTAGATCGCAAGACGGGTATAGCGGCCGAACAAATCTCCCGTAGACCTGGAAGCACAGCAACCTAAACCAACCCGATCATCAAGCTCCAGGCTGTAACTTACTGAGCATCATGGATCGTCTTTTTTGGGACCTAAAGGACGATCAAGAAACCTTTGCGCGAGAGAACACCGAGGCATGGACTGATCGGCCTGTTTTTTGGCATTCGCCCCTAGACTTTAAGTCGCCCTCCATCCGATTAGTGCGTATCATCCCAGACCCATCCTTCGACGGGCATATTCAGTTGGAGATTCGTCATGCCTCGACAAAGAGCACTTACATCTGTCTCTCATACGTCTGGGGTAAGGAACGATCTCCCCAATGGATCAGGATAGACGGACGACTCTTCCGAGTCGGTCAAAACTTGTATGCCTTTCTGGAATCAGCAAGAAAGAAGCCACATATTTGCACTCAATGGCTCTGGATCGATGCACTTTGTATCGATCAGTCGAACAATTCCGAACGATCACATCAAGTGCAGCAGATGGGTCAGATATTCCGCAAGGCGGTCAAAGTCATCTCCTGGTTTGGTGACGATGCGCTGATGGCACGATACTTTCGCGGAAGCATGCCGTCCCTCAAATTAAACAAGCTCTCTTTCTTCGAAGGGTACCTGGGTGAGCGGCGTTTCTTGGACTGGCGTTTCTCGGAAAGCGAATATTGGAAACGCGCTTGGATTACCCAAGAAGTCAGCTTGGCGCGCTATATTACCTTCATGGCAGGCAAAGAGGAAGTCGACCGTTGGCAGCCGCCAGCGGAAGAGGAAGAAGAAGACGGAGATGAAGACGAAGACGACCTCGTAGGACGCTGGATAAACACTCCGGTGGTCATCGAAAACAAAGCGGTGTCACTCGAAAACAACTCGCACCGATGGAGGGGCAGGAGTCTTATTTACCTTCTGCAACTCTTCTCTGAAAAACAATGCCATGATCGTCGGGATCGCGTCTTTTCCTTACTGGGATTATGCGGCGAGGGTTCAGACCTTGAGGTCGACTACGATATCTCACATGATGAGC